TGCCAGATGTTTTCGGTCGTGTTTCCTGAACCTCGTCATTGGTCCGTCAGGAAGATCTACTAGAAATACTACATTGTGCAAAAATACTCAACCAATTTAACATTTACATTTTTGAATTGCTATTATTTCATTTTTATTGATTTTTATTTATATTTATTTTATTTACATTAATTTGCTAATTATTTTCACATTTCATTTTTTACATAATAGTAATTGCAATTTGGAAAATAAATGTTTGTTTATTTATAAAAGGCTTTATTTATTTTCTTACTTTAGTATCATTAAGATTCTTGAGTATATTTATATTTATCTTAAATCTTTAATTTTTTAACTGCTATTGTTTAATTTTTATTGATTTTTATTTTATTTTATTTACTTTAATTTTATAATTATATATGTTTTTATTTCATTACAGTAATTAAGAAGATAAATGTTTATCATGTTTAGCAAAACAAGTCACAATGAAAAGGCTTTTATGTTCTTATTTTAATATCATTGATACACTATAATAGTTTTTAATATATTGAATTCGTTTTATTTTTATATTTTCTGTTTTCATTTTAATTCTAGTTTTAGCCATTTGTGTTTAGACTTTTTATTGTTTTTGTGTCTATATAGTTTTAATTAATTTTTATTTCAGTTTTAGTTTTAGTTATTTTAATACATCAATTATATCAATTTAATACAAAAATGATTATTATTATTATTACTATTATTTTGAATGTCTGTATATTTTTTATTAATTTTTATTTCCGTTCTACCTTTAGTTATTTTAATACATCAATGATAAATGTTTAAAATAGGATTGTTTTAAGTCAAGTTTCCTGAACACGCCCCCTGTCTGTCATTGGTCAGTCAGGCAGTTAGTCCCGCCCACTCTCACCCCATTGGTTGATTCAGAAGTTGACATGAGCCATTCAGACAGATCAGAATCAAAATGTTTAGTCGGTGTCTTTTAATAGCTGTAAACTCATTAGAGTTTTGATTTCAGTCTGTTATGTCTGTATGAATGGTTTGAAATGATGATCCAGTCGAGCGCTGTATACACTAGAGTGGCATGAATATGATCATGAATGAAGGAATCATGCGCTCTCGTGTGTGATTTACTGCAGACAGCTCCTCAGTGCGGCCGCATGATTTAACATGTGTCTTTAACAGCCAATCAGTCTCCACCCCAGCAGTTTGAAAAGTGACCGTCAAACGCCGGCTCGCTCTTTTTCTTCATCTGCGCCTCCTTTGTCTATTTTTATTTTTTGTTTGTACTTTGTACTTTTGGTGAAAAATAAATGTAGCGAAGTTTAATATTTTAGTTTTATTTTACTCAAGTAAAAGTAAAAGTACCACAATTTAATTATACTCAAGAAAGTAGAAAAAATTTACTCAAGTACTGTAACGAAAGTATTTAAGAATTAAGAATTAGTTACTTTCCACTTCTAGTCCTGTGAGACTCAATTCATTCGTGAGCGGTTAATTACAGATTCCTGACGAATAGACACAGAGCGGCTCAGTCTGTGCTCCTGAAATAGAGTATATAGGCCAAAACTTATGATTATGTATTTGAATTGCATCACATTTCCATTTGTTTATGATTATGCAGTTTTAACATAAACTAATGAACTTAATGTGATCATATTTGTCAGTCATACGCCAATGACACAGGTCAGATTTCTGCAATAGAACTAATAAACTGAATGTGTTTTAAATACACAATCACCAAATTTATATATTTATTATCAATAAATACTTTTTTTTTCAGTCTCATACTATTTCACTTAATTGAATGTGTTTTGTTTCACAACTAGCCATATTTAACCATGTTCATGCTAACCAGGGTTATTATAGTTAACTCAAATTAAAACTGAAAATAAAACTACAACCTTAAAAAAACATTTTCATTGCTTGAAATTAAATAAATGTTGACTGAAATAAAACCTAATATTAAAACAACTTTTATTTCAGCTAGTTGCAAAGGCAACACTTGTCATTTTAATTGTTTAATTGTACTAAAATAATTAAAACTTAAACTGAAATAAAAAATCATTTTAAATAAAGATATTAAAATTAATTTAAATAAAAAACTACTAAAAATAACAAAAGCACAACAAAATCACTAAAATTAAAATGAAAAACAAAATAAAATAAAATAGAACTAATAAACTGAATGTGTTTTAAATACACAATCACCAAATTTATATATTTATTATCAATAAATACTTTTTTTTCAGTCTCATACTATTTCACTTAATTGAATGTGGTTTGTTTCACAACTAGCCATATTTAACCATGTTCATGCTAACTAGGGTTATTATAGTTAACTCAAATTAAAACTGAAAATAAAACTACAACCTTAAAAATTATTCAAAATATTAAATAAATCTATAATGGTATCTCAATGACTCTAAAGTAACACAGTTTTTAACTGAATAAATGTAATTGCTTTCTCAGTGAACAGATTTATCCTGATTCTAAGCCATTTCAATAAATGCATTTTGAGACCAATTTAACATTTACATTTTTTAATTGCTATTATTTCATTTTTATTGATTTTTATTTATATTTATTTTATTTACATTAATTTGCTAATTATTTTCACATTTCATTTTTTACATAATAGTAATTGCAATTTGGAAAATAAATGTTTGTTTATTTATAAAAGGCTTTATTTATTTTCTTACTTTAGTATCATTAAGATTCTTGAGTATATTTATATTTATCTTAAATCTTTAATTTTTTAACTGCTATTATTTAATTTTTATTGATTTTTATTTTATTTTATTTACTTTAATTTTATAATTATATATGTTTTTATTTCATTACAGTAATTAAGAAGATAAATGTTTATCATGTTTAGCAAAACAAGTCACAATGAAAAGGCTTTTATGTTCTTATTTTAATATCATTGATACACTATAATAGTTTTTAATATATTTAATTCGTTTTATTTTTATATTTTCTGTTTTCATTTTAATTCTAGTTTTAGTCATTTGTGTTTAGACTTTTTATTGTTTTTGTGTCTATATAGTTTTAATTAATTTTTATTTCAGTTTTAGTTTTAGTTATTTTAATACATCAATTATATCAATTTAATACAAAAATGATTATTATTATTATTACTATTATTTTGAATGTCTGTATATTTTTTATTAATTTTTATTTCCGTTCTACCTTTAGTTATTTTAATACATCAATGATAAATGTTTAAAATAGGATTGTTTTAAGTCAAGTTTCCTGAACACGCCCCCTGTCTGTCATTGGTCAGTCAGGCAGTTAGTCCCGCCCACTCTCACCCCATTGGTTGATTCAGAAGTTGACATGAGCCATTCAGACAGATCAGAATCAAAATGTTTAGTCGGTGTCTTTTAATAGCTGTAAACTCATTAGAGTTTTGATTTCAGTCTGTTATGTCTGTATGAATGGTTTGAAATGATGATCCAGTCGAGCGCTGTATACACTAGAGTGGCATGAATATGATCATGAATGAAGGAATCATGCGCTCTCGTGTGTGATTTACTGCAGACAGCTCCTCAGTGCGGCCGCATGATTTAACATGTGTCTTTAACAGCCAATCAGTCTCCACCCCAGCAGTTTGAAAAGTGACCGTCAAACGCCGGCTCGCTCTTTTTCTTCATCTGCGCCTCCTTTGTCTATTTTTATTTTTTGTTTGTACTTTGTACTTTTGGTGAAAAATAAATGTAGCGAAGTTTAATATTTTAGTTTTATTTTACTCAAGTAAAAGTAAAAGTACCACAATTTAATTATACTCAAGAAAGTAGAAAAAATTTACTCAAGTACTGTAACGAAAGTATTTAAGAATTAAGAATTAGTTACTTTCCACTTCTAGTCCTGTGAGACTCAATTCATTCGTGAGCGGTTAATTACAGATTCCTGACGAATAGACACGGAGCGGCTCAGTCTGTGCTCCTGAAATAGAGTATATAGGCCAAAACTTATGATTATGTATTTGAATTGCATCACATTTCCATTTGTTTATGATTATGCAGTTTTAACATAAACTAATGAACTTAATGTGATCATATTTGTCAGTCATACGCCAATGACACAGGTCAGATTTCTGCAATAGAACTAATAAACTGAATGTGTTTTAAATACACAATCACCAAATTTATATATTTATTATCAATAAATACTTTTTTTTCAGTCTCATACTATTTCACTTAATTGAATGTGGTTTGTTTCACAACTAGCCATATTTAACCATGTTCATGCTAACTAGGGTTATTATAGTTAACTCAAATTAAAACTGAAAATAAAACTACAACCTTAAAAAAACATTTTCATTGCTTGAAATTAAATAAATGTTGACTGAAATAAAACCTAATATTAAAACAACTTTTATTTCAGCTAGTTGCAAAGGCAACACTTGTCATTTTAATTGTTTAATTGTACTAAAATAATTAAAACTTAAACTGAAATAAAAAATCATTTTAAATAAAGATATTAAAATTAATTTAAATAAAAAACTACTAAAAATAACAAAAGCACAACAAAATCACTAAAATTAAAATGAAAAACAAAATAAAATAATAAAAATGATTCAAAATATTAAATAAATCTATAATGGTATCTCAATGACTCTAAAGTAACACAGTTTTTAACTGAATAAATTTCATTGCTTTCTCAGTGAACAGATTTATGCTGATTCTAAGCCATTTCAATAAATGCATTTTGAGAAAATTATTATTTAAATAAAATCAAATGGATGCAAAATGCCATGATTTTTTGAGTGCAGAATTCTGACCGGTTTTATTTATGAATGACTGACAAATATGAATCATGTGAAGTTTATTAGTTTGTTTAAAATAGCATAATCCAAATGCATGGAAATGTTATATGCAATAAATGTATTCAAGTACGTAAACCCTAAATGTATGCCCAAACCTGTATTTCTTGTGAGGAACACAGAAGCAGATGTTTAGCAGGATGTTCATGATGTTCATGTATTCTGTGTGAGTCATAGCATCGTGTCTCGCGGTCCGCAGGTGAACGGGAGGGATCTGTCGAGAGCCAGTCATGAGGAGGCGGCGGAAGCTCTGCGCAGTGCTAAAGACCCTATCGTGGTGCAGGTGCTCCGGCGGACCCCTCGGCCCCGGGGTCAAGGGTCGGTGCAGGACGTGTGCACGCAGACGGAGATCACCTTCGAGCACATCATGGCTTTGGCCAAACTGCATCCCGTCTCGCCGCCGGTGCCGGATCTCTGCCCCTTTCTCCTGTCGGACAGGTGAGCCGCACACTTGCTGTGGGAATGCTGTTTGGGAACGCTGTGAGAACACTGTTTGGGAATGCTGATTGGGAACGCTGTTTGGGAATGCTGTTTGGGAACGCTGTTTGGAAATGCTGTTTGGGAACTCTGTGGGAATGCTGTGGGAACGCTGTTTGGGAATGCTGTGGGAATGCTGTTTGGGAACGCTGTTTGGGAATGCTGTTTGGGAACTCTGTGGGAATGCTGTTTGAGAACTCTGTGGGAATGCTGTTTGTTGATGCTGTGGGAACGCTGTTTGGGAACGCTGTGGGAATGCTGTTTGGGAATGCTCTGGGAACGCTGTTTGGGAATGCTGTGGGAAAGCTGTTTGGGAATGCTGTTTGGGAACACTGTAGGAACGCTGTTTGGGAACGCTGTGGGAATGCTGTGGTAACGCTGTTTAGGAACGCTGTTTTGGAACGCTGTGGGAACGCTGTTTGGGAATGCTGTTTGGGAACGCTGTGGGTTTGGGCACGCTGTGGGAATGCTGTTTGGGAACGCTGTGGGAATGCTGTTTGGGAACGCTGTGGGAACGCTGTTTGGGAATGCTGTTAGGGAACACTGTGGGAACGCTGTTTGGGAACGCTGTTTGGGAACTCTGTGGGAATTCTGTTTGGGAATGCTCTGGGAACGCTGTTTGGGAATGCTGTGGGAAAGCTGTTTGGGAATGCTGTTTGGGAACACTGTAGGAACGCTGTTTGGGAACGCTGTGGGAATGCTGTGGTAACGCTGTTTAGGAACGCTGTTTTGGAACGCTGTGGGAACGCTGTTTGGGAATGCTGTGGGAAAGCTGTTTGGGAATGCTGTTTGGGAATGCTGTGGGAATGCTGTGGTAACGCTGTTTTGGAACGCTGTGGGAACGCTGTTTGGGAATGCTCTTTGGGAACGCTGTGTGAATGCAGTGGGAACGCTGTTTGGCAACGCTGTGGGAATGCTGTTTGGGAATGCTGTTTGAGAACACTGTGGGAACGCTGTTTGGGAACGCTGTGGGAATGCAGTGGGAACGCTGTTTGGCAACGCTGTGGGAATGCTGTTTGGGAATGCTGTTTGAGAACACTGTGGGAACGCTGTTTGGGAATGCTGTTTGGGAACGCTGTGGGAATGGTTCTAAAACGCTGAAATGTGCATTTTCTTTTTGGGATTATAACATTACATAAAGGTTACAAAAACGTTTCTCACCGTGTTCTACTAACTTTATTTTCACCCAAAAATATAACATTAATGAAGCGTTTATTTTCAGTATTCGAAGAATGTTAAAATGTCCAGTTTTCTTGACGTAATTTACAAGTGTTTCTTACAACATTCTACTAAGTTTATTTTCACCCAAAATATTGCATTATTTGACTTTATTTTTAATATTCTACAAATGTTAAAATGTCTAGTTTTCTTGTCATGGTTACGACATTAATTAAAGGTTACAAAAATGTTTACTAAATGTTCTTTTTCACCCAAAATGTAACATTAATGAAGCGTTATTTTTTTTATATTCGAAGAATGTTAAAATGTCCAGTTTTCTTGACGTTATTTAAAGGTTATTAAAACGTTTCTTACAACATTCTACTAACTTTATTTTCACCCAAAACATAACATTATTTGAACGTTTATTTTCAGTATTCTAAGAACATTAAAATGCCCAGTTTTCTTGTCATGATCACTACATTATTTAAAGGTTACAAAAACATTCCTGACGACATTCATCAAGTACAAATAACATCATAAGGATGTTGATCTCAGAACATTTTCTCTCAACCTTATGAGAACGTATATCAAAATTAATACATTTTGAATATAGAGCTAATATTTATTGTGATAAAGTTGTATTAATAAAGTTATAAGAATGTTTCATAAACAGTACTTTAAGAGTGTTTTGTCCTAACATTCATGTAACTATTGAATAACATTCCCTGTCAGCTGGGAAGGGTTTCCTCCAAAGCGATGCTTGTGTGCTCGATCGTCTTTCCTCAGTCTCTCAGGAGAATCGAGATGAAGTGTAGGGTTTCTCCTCAGGAGATGGAGGGCGGCTGCAGTGCATGCTGGGAAGGGAGCTGAAAGTGTGTTAGGAGGTGATTAAAGTCGCACAATGGCCCGTTGATCATTCAGAATTCAGAATTTGTCACCTGCTCTTTTTGTCACCTGTGTTTTGTTTCTAAATTCCCTTTAGTGCGGCGGATGCTGATGTGCACTTTCTGAGTTCCTTTGTCTTTCTTGACAAAAGCGTTGAGGAATTAATCATTTAAAAAATAGATTGTTTACAGTAGCCTCATCCTTATGTTTGAAATGTTACCCATAAATATTTAGTTTATATATTTCATCATGTTAAATAAATGGGATGGAAGAGCACTTCATTTCCCAGAATGCATCACCCATGTTAAATTCCTTTGAATTGCAGTTCAGTAGATTGTTCTTCCTGTTCTTCCGGTGGATCTGCTCAATGCTTTGGCTTCATAGACTCAACAGACAGTTCACCAAAAAAGTTACAGTATTAAATAGTAATGCATCGATGTCTATTTCTGATGAGTCTGATGAAGAACATCTCAAAACGTTCTCAAAATGTTAGCACTAAAATGTTATTTATGCATCGTTTATGGAACATTGTTTCTGAAATGTTTTAGTTCGGCATGAGACAAACGTTTTTAAACAATATTACTGACTGTTTTTTTCTCGCAGTTCTGTTTAAATCCTGCATTTCTGTTGTTCTGTTTCCACAATCCTGAGAAAAAAGTCTGAATTGTGAGAAGTAAACTCGAGTGTAAATCTTGCACTTCTGACTTCTTCCTTAGAATTCTGAATTAACGTCTCGCAATCCGTTTTTTATTCCACCACTGATGAAAAAAAATGTAAAAAGTAATTGAGATTTTTTTTTTAAATCCCACAGTTCGACGCGTCCCCGGACAGATAAAGAGGAGTATTTATCGGGAGATTGTGAGCATGAGGAGAGTCAAAAATGAGCAAAAGGCAAAGAGCAAAAGACGTAAATAATGTGTATAAATCATCCTGCCACCTGGAATGTTTTTATATACAAGTTTGAGAATCGGAATTGTGTGGAAGCTTATTTCTTGCCATGGAATATAAAAATTTAACTTTTTAGTTTATATCTCACAATTCAGGCTTTTTTCTTGTAATTCTGAGATATAAACTCAACTCGCACAAATTGTGAGCTATAAGCTATGAGCTATAAGTGTGAAATAAGTGTCAATTAACTTATTTACCTAAAAAAAAAAAAAAAAAAAAAAACAGAATTGTAAACTCTTTTTCTTGCAAATCTGAATTTATTACTTGGTATTGTGTTTTTGTGTGTATGTTTCTGCCAGTGTAATAAAAAATAAAAAAAGGTAATAAAAAGGTGTTTAGATATTTGTATTGGAAAATAATACGAAGTAAGAAAATAATTTTTTGCAGTGTATCTCACAATTCAGACTTTTTTCCCTAAATTTAAACTCTTAATTATGAAAACAAAAGTCAAGAACAAATAGAAAAATAATCTAAATTGAAAGGGAAAACAAGATTTTTCTTTTGTTTGATGCATTTTTCAGAAAACAAGACTTAATATCTTAATTTTGCTTCTCAAGTAGATGTATTTTGACTCAAATACGTTTAGATATTTGAATGTTTTGCCATGTAAAATGTTATAACCCTGTGTCTGAGTATCAGATGTGTGTTTCTCAGTGATGTGTGCTCTTTCTCTCGTCAGCTGTCTCTCTCTGCACACCACGGATCAGGAATACTTCCAGGGCAGCGAGTATCTCTCCAACACACCAGCGGACCTCGAGAGGACCCATGACTTCGAGTACGAGGTGAGACTGCCTCCTGAGTCAGCGCTCCCTGAGCCGCAGAGATTCCCGTTTGATCCCAGAACCTTCTGCTAACGTTCCCATCAAGTTATGAAAACCTTGTTTATCAATGTTCTTTTTTTGGTTATGCGAGTGTTAAAGGAATAGTTCACCAAAAAAAAAAAAAAATCAGTCACTAGTTGTTCCAAACCTGTATGAGTTTCTTCTAGCTGTTGAACAGAAAAGAAGAGATTTTAAATGAAGTTGGGAACCAAACAGTTGCTGGCAGCCATTGACTTCCATAGTATGGGGGAAAATGCCAATGGTAGTCAATGGCTACCGTCAACCTCATCCTTCAGAATATCTTCTTTCATGTTCAGCAGAAGAAAGTCAGTCTTACAGGTTTAAAACAAGCGGAGGGCAAGTAAATGATGACAGAATCTTCATTTTTGGGTGAACTGTCCCTTTAAGGGAACATTCCACTTTAGAATGTTGCAAACATTATGCGACTGTTATATTTAAATGTTCTCTGAACGTTCTGAAACAAAACTAGTAACATTTAAAAAACACTGCATAATCGTCCAACTAAAATGCTTCAGAAATATAACCTTCCACGAACAAGGTATAAATAATGTTTTTGTGCTGATGACTCTGAACAAACATTCTATTAACATTACATTTGTTCATAACTTTGCAAGAACCTTCTGAGAATGTTCCTTGCTAGCTGGATTAGAGCTGTGTTACCATGTTTTACCATGTTTTACACTTAACATCAAGCCTAAGATCCCCTTAAACGTGGTAAAATCACATGCACAGGATTATTGCGTTTATAAAACATCAAACATGAGCAAAGACACCAGTGTTCAATAAATATTTACAGTGCAGAGAGGAGAGAGAACACCAGAAAACAGCACATCAAGTTACATTTACGTCAGAAGCAAGTTACTCTGAAAAATGTATTCAAAGAAAAGTTATCTGCCAATGTAAGAAAAATAAGATAGTTTTCCCTTTGACTTAAGATTATTTTTCTGACCCAATTGACAGATATTTCCTCTTGTTTTAAGCAAAAACTGATTTAATTTTGATGCATTTTTCAGTGAACAAGACTTCAAATCTGAAATCATGTTGGTATCTTGATGTAAGAATGCTTGGATATTGGAAAACAGGAGAGCAATACCCAGGTTTTGCCGTAAACGATGCTAATACAATCCCCAGCGCTGAACTGAGAGTCAGAAGCGTGTGTGTAATGAATCAGATGATAAACTCAGTCTGAAGCGAGTCTGAGTCAGAGGCATGTGGGAAGGAGCGGGCTTGATTCTTATGAATGCTTGAATGCAATGAATGTGCGTGTGTCCGGCTGAGGGAGGTTTGTGTGTGTGTTTGTAGTCATTAATGCAGAGCACTGTGATCTTCACGCTTCGTTCTGGAGCTCTAATCATATTACAGTCGAGTGATGTGATGCTTGAGGAAGGAAGCGCAGGACTGAACACACGACTCTGAGATGTCGATCACAGTACTGATTCTCTGTGTGTGTGATCAGCGGCTCTAGCCAGTGACTCTCACTGTGTTTCTCCACTTATGTTCTAGAGGTTTTACTGTGAAATCATTCAGACACCGGACGTCTGTGGATCAAATATGGATTCTCTGACTCCTCTCTGACCACAAAAACAAGTTATAGAAGAAAATACTATTTCTTTCTACTTTAACATTTCACATTGAATTCAGTGCGATACTTGCTGATTCTTTGTAATTATTTGTGAAATATTATAGCAATATTTGAGTGAAAATTAATTAATTAATTTATTGTTTTATTGTTTCTTTGTAAATCCTACACACACAAAAAAAAAATGTTTAAAGTAAATCTTACACAAAATATTAGACCCAAAAAATAAATAAATAAATACAATTGTTTAATTCAAATCTTAAATTACACCAAAATAAATAAATAAATAATAAAATAAATGTTTAAAGTAAATCCTACACAAAACAATAGACCAAAAAAATATAAAATTGTTTAAATTAAATCTTACACAAAAAATACACCTAAATAAATAAATAAATAAATAAATAAAGGTTTAATGTAAATTCTACACACAAAAAACTTTTAAAAGTAATATTTTAATGTAGACCTTTCACCAAAAAAGAATAAAATTGTTTAAAGGGGTCATATGATGCTGCTAAAAAGAACATTATTTTGTGTATTTGGTGTAATGAAATGTGTTTATGCGGTTTAAAGTTAAAAAAACACATTATTTTCGACATACTGTACATTATTGTTTCTCCTCTATGCCCCTAAATTTTATAAAGAATATCTCTTTGGATTTGAGACTTTAGTCTTTGCAACTTTACAGATCTTCTTTATGCACCAAGAGCTTGTAACACTTCAAAGAGAAAGGAAAAAATGAAATTGCATCATATGACCCCTTTAATTTAAATCTTACCCCAAAAATTACAACCAAATAAATAAATGTAAAGTAAATTCTAGAGCAAAAAATTACACCAAACATAAATGTAAAAAATGTTTAAAGTCAATCCTACACGAAAGCATTACACCAAAATAGATATATTTATATATTTTTATTTGAATTTTACAACAAAAAATTACAGTGAATGAATGAATGAATGAATGAATGCACACGACAAAGTAAATAAGTAAATCCCACATGTTTTTTTCCAGTGCAGTTTTCATTACTGTTATTGAGTGTTTCTCTGCTTTTGTTCTGGAGGTTTTTCTGTGAGACGCTGGACGTCTGCGGATGAAATATGGACTCTCGGTCTCCTCTGTGAGCCATGCGTGTATTTCACCTGCTGGGATTTGTGTGTCCCCGATTGTGCTTGCTTTGTTTTTGTTCATTGAATTGACTCATCTGATTGTTTGGTTGAATTATTGAGCTCGTGTTGTCAATGATTCTCAAGAAACACTGCATGAATGTTTCATCCGTATCGCGTGGGATTCACCGAGCGACTGAATAAATTAATGCTCATTCACATAATTACAAACTTATGTACAAAAGAAACACCAGATTTGTGCATAGTTAATGGCCTGATTTTCTCAGAAGAGGCTTCAAAGCGCTGATCTGTGTTTGACGCGCTGAAGATGTGGAGTCGATTTTCAGCCTTATTTCTATTTCCGGGAAGTTTTGTCTTTCTATGCAACATTAACATGATTTAAGATTTTAAATTTCAACCCTACAAGGAGACTATGAAAAAAAATTATATTAAAATTCTGATTTTTGAACATAAAAAATGGCCTCAAGATGTTTTTAATCAAAATTTATGTTTTTATCTAAAAGATTTAAAACATGTAAATCTTGTTTTACTATTTCATCGGATTTTTTGAATAAAAAACATACCTTTAACTTTGTTATCACGGCCCTTATGACATAAAATCATTCCAACTCATCCAAAGAGGGTGTTTAGAAATAATGCATATACTTTATATTGCTACACTATGGTTAATATAACATCCAGGTAATTTTTTCAATAAATTCAGCAAATGTTTAAATAACAGGAAGACTTTTCACAACAGGAATAGTGTAAGCTTTCTAAAAAGTCCATTTATCTCCATTAAATATGTTTTAGTTATTTTACTTTAGACACTGGATCATTTTTTACATTGTATAATATTGATTGAGCAGCTAAATAAATATTACACACTTTTTAAAAAATCATTATTCTAAAGAAATATTATTGCAGTGTTGTAAAATGCCTATTTCGTCATAAAACACTATTTCAGTATTTCTACTTCAAAATTTAACATTTAATTCAATGTGATTCTTGCTATTTCTTTGTAATTATTTGTGAAATAAATGTGAAAATAAATTTTTTTTTTTTTTAAAGCATATCCTACACCAAAAAAAAGACATTAAAAAGTTTTAAATTGTTTACTTTAGACACTGGATCATTTTTTACATTGTATAATATTGATTGAGCAGCTAAATAAATATTACACACTTTTTAAAAAATCATTATTCTAAAGAAATATTATTGCAGTGTTGTAAAATGCCTATTTCGTCATAAAGCACTATTTCAGTATTTCTACTTCAAAATTTAACGTTTAATTCAATGTGATTCTTGCTATTTCTTTGTAATTATTTGTGAAATATATGTGAAAATAAATAAAAAAAAATTTTTAAAAGCATATCCTACACCAAAAAAAAGACATTAAAAAGTTTTAAATTGTTTTAAAATGGTTAAATCCTACATCAAAAAATTACACCAAAAACACAAAAATAGTTTAAAATCATAAAAAATGTGCAAAGTTCTACACAAAAAAAGAGTGAAAATGTATTTATTGTTTAAAATAAATCCTACACCAAATGTTTTTCAGTGCATGTTTCTTTACTGATGCTCCTTTAGCATTGACAATATTAAAGCGTCTTTAAACCAAAGCCAATCCATGCAAAAGTCCATATTAAGATCAGTGCTGAGCTCACTGATGTGTGTCTGTCTCTTCTCTCTGCAGGAGGTTGAGCTGCGTCGAGTGAGCCGTCAGGAGAAGCTGGGCCTCACGCTGTGCTACAGAACAGACGATGAGGAGGACAGCGCCATCTACATCAGCGAGGTGAGGCATCAACATCAGTCTCAGATACTGACATCAAGCACGAGGAACCCAAGCAAACCTTCATTAGAGCCACATAACCACTTATACATAACCCTCAGATGTAGTTTTGATCATGAAGTCAGACATTCGATCATAAAACCCTTTAAAAAAGGTCTTTGATACTGAATTATGAATTTGTTTACTGTGTTAGAGATTCCAGGGCTAGTTGTCACACTTCACTCCAGTGAATATTGTCCGTTTCTATTGATTGACACAAACTTTGAAGTTTTCACTATAGGAAAATAAAGCGTTTGAACATTAATATTGGTATTGAAAACATTCAAACCATTTAACACACTTTGAGCGCTACAGCGGGGCATGTTGTCACAGTATATGGGGTAAGTTGTCACAATGGGATGATCCTGCTGTCGTTAATTTAAAAAAGTACATGAAAAACAATCTAAATTAACAAAATATGATAGTTGCTGGAATATGGACTGTGTGACGACTAGCCCCGGTCTATATACATCCATACAACCAAGGTTTGTAATGTTTTTGATAGAATCTATTCTGCCGAGGCTGCATTTATGTGATCAAAAATACAGTAAAAATGTGGAAATATTATTAGAATGTAAAACAGCTGTTTTCTATGTGAATATCTGTTAAACTGTAATTTATTTCTGTGATGCGCAGCTGTATTTTCAGCATCATTACTCCAGTCTTCAGTGTCACATGATCTTCAGAAATCATTCTAATATGCTGATTTGCTGCTCAAGAAACATTTCTGTTTTCAACATTGATAATAATCAGAAATGTTTGTTGAGCATTATATTAGACTGATAGATACACACACACATATAGAGAGGTATTTTAGTGAGTGTTTGTGTGTGTCGTCTCAGATTCATCGTCTGCGTGTGAATACAGATCCGTCAGCGCTTACAGGCTTATTAAAATCTCGTCTCCATAAAATTGAAGAGCAGAGAGCCGTGATATCAGATATTCAAATGAAAGTTTGTAATGTTGTGATTCTTAACGCTTAAACAAAGACTTTTTAAAATCTTTATGAGAAAAATGAGTAGGAAAAAGTGGGCTGGCACTAAAGTGTTCTGATCACAGGGGAGCACGGGATTGGCTGGAGTCTTGAAGCCTTGGCCAATCAGATCCTGAGTCCATAATTCTAAATGACATCATCAAGTTCAAACGTGGAATATTCAAATGTGGAATATGCTGCTTTCATTCTCAGATCGAGCCGAACAGCATCGCTGCGCGAGACGGTCGAATCCGAGAAGGCGACCGTATTTTACAGGTAACGTCATCTGCTATTGTCTGCGGCCAGAGCGCCAGCTACAGGACCTGCAGGAGAGCAGGGGTCCAGGAAAACATCCCGAGGAGTTCCTGTGTTCCTGTGACACAAACATTCATTAATCAATATCAATTTACTGGAGATGCTGAATGACTGAGTTTATGCTTCAAACAAGAACAAATATCTGCCAATTGGGTCAGAAAAATAAACTTAATTCAAAGGGAAAACAAGAGTATTATGTTTTTGACCCCATTAGCAAGTACTTGTAATTGGTTTAAGCATAAAGCTAATTTTGATCCTTTTTTTCTTCTTCAGAAAACAAAACAATAAATTAGGTCATTTTGCATCTCAAGTAAATGCATCTTGGTTTAAAAATGTTTTGATATGTTTTGATAAAAATGTATTTATTTATTTATTACCTGTTAGAGTTTAATACACTGCAAAAAATATTTTTTTTGTCTTGTTTTCCAGTAAAACTAAACTTTCTTAATTCATTCTCAGATCGAGCCGAACAGCATCGCTGCGCGAGACGGTCGAATCCGAGAAGGCGACCGTATTTTACAGGTAACGTCATCTGCTATTGTCTGCGGCCAGAGCGCCAGCTACAGGACCTGCAGGAGAGCAGGGGTCCAGGAAAACATCCCGAGGAGTTCCTGTGTTCCTGTGACACAAACATTCATTAATCAATATCAATTTACTGGAGATGCTGAATGACTGAGTTTATGCTTCAAACAAGAACAAATATCTGACAGTTGGGTCAGAAAAATAAACTTAATTCAAAGGGAAAACAAGAGTATTATGTTTTTGACCCCATTAGCAAGTACTTGTAATTGGTTTAAGCATAAAGCTAATTTTGATCCTTTTTTTCTTCTTCAGAAAACAAAACAATAAATTAGGTCATTTTGCATCTCAAGTAAATGCATCTTGGTTTAAAAATGTTTTGATAAAAATGTATTTATTTATTTATTACCTGTTAGAGTTTAATACACTGCAAAAATGATTTTTTTTTGTCTTGTTTTCCAGTAAAACTAAACTTTCTTAAATCAAGCTCCATTTACTGAAGATGTTGATATAAAGATGTATTTTTTTTTTTCTAAAAAAATATTCCAAATTAAGTGATTTTGCTAAAAAGCAAGAAATAAATATCTACCAATGGGGGTCAGAAATACAATCTTGTTTCCCCTTTGAATTAAGAATTATATTCATTTCTTTTTCTGACCACTGACAGATATTTTTTCTTTTTTTCAGCAAAAACTCTTCAGCAGAAATCTAGGCTAATTATCTTCAGTCATTTTGCATTTCCAGTAAATTGATATTGATTTATGAATGTTTAGATAGTTGTACTGGAAAGCAAGACAGAAATACTGAGCAAGAACATCATGTTGTTGGTGTGTAATAATGTAAGGCTGCGTCTCATTGGCTGATCTGTGTGATTGACAGATAAATGGGCGGGACGTTCAGGACAGACAGGAAGCGGTGGCTGTTCTCTCCAGTGAAGAATGCAGGAATATTGTGCTGCTGGTCGCAAGGCCGGAAATGCAGGTAGTTATAAAACACATCTACATGGCTTATGAATATTATGTACATTAATGTTCATGTTGTTTGCCCAGCAGTCCATCTTACTATAAGAAAGGTTGTTATGGTTAACTAAAACTAAAACCATAAAATGTACTTTTTTTTTTCTTGAAATAAAACAAATGCTAACTGAAATAAAATAAAAACTGATAAAACGAAAACTGGTAAATAAAAATTATTAAATTTAAATTAAAAAAAAATATTAAATAACAAAAACACAACAACATTTTTAAAACTTTAATCAAAATTATAGTGAAAACAGAAAATCTACAAATAAAATTCCAAACATGAACAATAACTGTAATAGTAGATTCAGTGTTACTAAAATAACACCGATTGTACTGCAGATATTGGTAAATAGAGGCTAGTCGTATTGGATTGACATTTATTTCTTGTTTTAAGCATAAATTGAATACAATTCTGTGAGCTTTATGCTTAAAACGAGAAGAAACTGTTTGCCATTTCGGTAAAAAATTTATTTAAATGACTATATTTTCCAAAAACAAGATTTACACCAAATTTTACTTGAGTAACTCACACACAGAGATTATCAAGCGCAAATATGAGTGTTTGTATTTGTTTATTAATAATGTTTGTCCTCACAAACACACGTGAAATTTTCATATATATATATATATATATATATATATATATATATATATATATATATATATATATATATATAAACATAAAACTAATTCAAATATTAACAATAACTCACTCTAATAGTACCTCAGTGATACTAAAATAACATTGATTTTAGTACATCTTCATAATTTATCCGAATATTAAAAATGAACATTCAGATACTTTTATATTTTGGGTGGAAATAAAATTAGTAGAACGTTCTAAGAAACGTGTAACCTTTAAATAACATTCTAATCACGACAAGAAAGCTGGACATTTTAATAGTCTTAGAATATTAAAATAAACGTGCAAATAACATATTTTGAGTGAAACTAAAGTTAGTAGAATGATGTAAGAAGTTTGTAGTTTGAGAGTGTAGAGGAACTGATCCACTTACATCATTCGCAGTGCATCATGGGAGTGAACAGACAGATTCCCATTTCCATAGTAACACTGAAAGATTGCTGGATTGGGCTTGAGGATAACGAGTTCTTCACCGGGAGTCATCATCACATAATCTCTCAATGCACATCATAATGGGCCAAAAAAGCTTCATCTTCTTAATGCAGAATGTAAGGTGAGCCACTTTGTGCTGTTTCAGGAGGAGCCGTGGCTGGATGATGAGCACAGCGAATTCTTAGAGGAGCTGAAGATGGAAATGCTGGAGGAGCAGAGGAGAGAAGAGGAGGAGGAGACGAAGAGAGCGGCTCGAGAGGAAGACATATTTTGAGTGAAACTAAAGTTAGTAGAATGATGTAAGAAGTTTGTAGTTTGAGAGTGTAGAGGAACTGATCCACTTACATCATTCGCAGTGCATCATGGGAGTGAACAGACAGATTCCCATTTCCATAGTAACACTGAAAGATTGCTGGATTGGGCTTGAGGATAACGAGTTCTTCACCGGGAGTCATCATCACATAATCTCTCAATGCACATCATAATGGGCCAAAAAAGCTTCATCTTCTTAATGCAGAATGTAAGGTGAGCCACTTTGTGCTGTTTCAGGAGGAGCCGTGGCTGGATGATGAGCACAGCGAATTCTTAGAGGAGCTGAAGATGGAAATGCTGGAGGAGCAGAGGAGAGAAGAGGAGGAGGAGACGAAGAGAGCGGCTCGAGAGGAAGAGGAGGAGGAGACGAAGAGAGCGGCTCGAGAGGAAGAGGAGGAGGTCAGAGCAAATCTCACTGCACTGGGGTTCAAATGTTCACTCTGCAAAACATGTACACTTATTTCAGACATTTTCATGCAGTTTAACTTACAGAAATAAATAACTAAAACTAATCAATAAAAACTGGATACATACTATATGGACATATTTAAAATTAAAATAAAATGACAAAAACACAACAAAATTACTAAAACCTTAATTAAAATGAAAGTGAAACCAGAGAACATATAAATAAAATCAATTCAAAATATGAACAAAGCTATAATATTTAATTATTTTGAATTGTGATTTTATTTTTATGTTTTCTGCTTTCATGTTAATTTTAGTTAAAGTTTAGTGTTTTTGTTAAAAGTTAATTTTTGTGTTTTTGTCATTTTCAGTAGGTTTTGTTTTGTTTTTTTTGTCTATATAGTTTTTATTCATTTTTATTTCAGTTGCAGAAATAAAATAAGCTTGGGTTTTTTTATATTTTATTTTATTCAGTTAACATTTATGTTATTTCAAGTAACTAAAATGTTTTTATGGTTTTAGTTTTTCATTTTCTTAAAATTAACCAATCACAGCACAAACTGGCCCAGCTAACCAATCACAACACACACTGGCCCAGCTAACCAATCACAGCACACACTGGCCCAGCTAACCAATCACAGCACACACTGACCCAGCTAAGCAATCACAGCACACACTGACCCAGCTAACCAATCACAACACACCCTGGCCCAGCTAACCAGTCACAGCACACACTGACCCAGCTAAGCAATCACAGCACACACTG